ACATAAACTTTGGGCCCTCAGCGTGGATTTCTTGGATCTGCGCTGGACCCCTCTCCCTGGCGCGCGGAGCGCGCCAGGGGCGGCGCTGGAGGCGCCGCAGGCGGGGCCCCAACGCAGAAAATCCAGCAGATCCGGAGCGCCAAGAGTTTATGTTTCTGGCGGACATTCTCCTGACAGTTGTAGCACAGGGCGCAGGGAACAATGAGGTATGGGTACAGGACAACATTCGGGGAGACGTAAGACTCGGGTACGGGGGCTCGGGTTGGCCTGACGTGGCGACCATGAAAATGACGAGAGCCAATATGAAATTTGACGCGAGCTCCCGCTGCAAACATCCCACGAAAACCAGACCGTTGGAGGCTTAGAAATGGGCATCAACACCAGCACCGAGGGTTGCCTCCACTAGGGAATTGTGATCCTAGACTTTGGTGTTGGTGGTAATATGTCGGCCACATTGGAAGCCCGAATGTTATCACCATCGCCGAGATCAGGATCATCTTCGGTGGAGGCACATCCCCGATATTGGTGTTGGTGTCAACCTCTAGGCCTCCGAGACCGTCAAAATCCAGGACCCGCTCGTCCAAAGACGCTGGCAAACCCGAGTTCCGGCTTAGTCGAGTCTTACGTTTCACCGAAACATATGCAACCCTCCCCCCCCGCGCTCCCCTCCGCCGCTCCCTCCGCACCGAGGCCCCGGCAGGAAGTGGAAGAGGTGCAGGAACTCCTGGCAGCTGATGGGCACGGCGGCGTGCCGGCGCTTGAAGTGCTCCCAGCCTCTCTCGCTCTCTCCACGCTCGCGCGGGCCGTGCGGCGAGCAGAGATTCCGACCCCTCTTCCGTCCACCCTCCCTCCTCCTCCTTCCCCCTCGCCATTGTTTCTCCTCCCTGCATCTACTCCTCCTCCTCCTCCTCCTCCTCCACCTCCTCCTCCTCCTCCTTCACCTCCGCCTCCTCCTCCTCCTCCTCCTCCTTCACCTCCTCCTCCTCCTCCTCCTCCTCCTCGCGGTCTTCCTCAAACATTTGTGCTTCAACCCCGCCCCTCCCTGCCTCTATCACCGCTCGCGCGTGCGGGCGTCCTGCGAGAGCACCTCGCCCTCCCTCACCATGCCGAGTGGTGCCATCGGCCTTCGAGGCTCAAAGGGGAAGGCTTCCATAAGCATGCTCGAATGCCGTTGCCCCAACCGAAGCCCGCACTCAGGGGTGCGCATGCTTCGCCCTACAAGAGCGGCCGCGGTCTCCGGGTTCTAGACTCCTTGCGGTCCGTTGCCGCCCGGTTGCTGGCTGCGGCCTTCGTAATCTGGGCTTCTTGTCAGGTCGGGCCTGTCCCCCTACAGGCGGATTTTTGACGAAGAATAGAACATAGTCCAACAATATCCCAAACTGGTCAAACATAGTAGAACATCGTCCCAATTATATATTTTGAACTACATTTGAATATTCCTCATTGCCTAACTTAAGCTTAACTTAAGCTTAAGCTTATTGAGGGACAGGCCCGACTTCAGCTTATTGCCGCACGCCGCCGCCAGCTGCTGCGCTGCACTACTCTGCACTGCTGCGGACAGGAGCTCCTGCTGCGCACGTCGCGGCGGCGGCCCCGGGCGACACGCCGTGCAGGAGGAGGAGGAGGAGGAGGACGAGGAGGAGGAGGACGCGGAGGAGGAGGAGGAGGAGGAGGAGGAGGAGGAGGAGGAGGAGGAGGAGGAGGAGGAGGAGGAGGGGGGAGGGGGGAGGGGGAGGGAGGAGGAGGAGGAGGAGGAGGAGGAGGAGGAGGAGGAGGAGGAGGAGGAGGAGGAGGGGGAGGAGGAGGAGGAGAAGGAGGAGGACCTGCGAGCTGAAGCAGCGCGTCGCTCCGCTCCGCGGGGCGGGAGGCCGCGGAAGCTCGGGACGCTGGCGCGGGCGGCGTGCCCCGCTGAAGCACCGTGGGCCAGCGAGGGCGGCGCGACACGCGAAGCACCGCGGGCCAGCGAGGGCGGCGCGACACGAGAACCTAGAATTACGTCGGGTCTGTCCCCCTGCAGGGGGATTTTGTGCAAAAAACTTGGATCTGTTAAGAACAGATTTCCAAATAGTCCAAACATGCTCAAACAAATCGTGCCCAGACTACTTTTTGACTATGGTTGAACATTCCTCCGTTAGGGGGACGTGCCCGACTTAAACCCAGAAGAAGAAGGCACGGCACAAACATAAACTTTGATGCTTCGCGCGGGTTTCTCGGATCTGCGCTTGACCCCCCATGGATTAAACGAAAGAAAAACGGCATAGACATGAACTGTTGACGCTCCGCGCGGCTTTCTCGGATCTGCGCCGGACCCCCGCCCTGGCGAGCGGAGCGCGCCAGGGGCGGCGCCGGAGGCGCCGCCAGGGGGGCCCAGCGCGGATCCAAGAAGTCCGCGCGGAGCGCCAAAAGTTTATGCTTTTGGTGGTTTTACTTCTTCGAGACACGCTAACCACAGTTTCCCGACCGTATCGCGCCATGTAGGGAGGCTGGGCCAGGCAGAGGG